AATTTTAAATCGATGTTTTGATTTAAAATTGTTCAGTTTGTTTTGAAATATTATTTAATCGACTCATTAGTTAGAAGAATGTAGACAATAAAATAATAATTTTATGTACATGCTTCAATGAATGTCGAAGAAGTGTCGTCGAACGTGTTTGCCAAATTGCGCGAATATTCTTAATAATATCACATTTCATTATTTCCCGTGAAACAGTAGTGTGCACCAATAGCGTACTTATAGTAATGTCTTATAACATTCCATTTGTTTCAAAGTAATACGGTAATATATAATATTTTTAAACACTCGTTCATCTTTTGGAAATCAGCATTTTCAAGCTAAGAACTCACTAATTATATTTTGTAACAAAACTATAGTATGTGACCTTTAAATGCTAGAAAACATCTGAGAGAGGTAGTGACTTTTGACCTTTAATATTGTAACAGGAGTTTGGAAACTTGAGAGTGAAGGTCCTTTTCGGAAAATGTGCGACGACATTTTAATATTAGTGTATAACTTATACATAACTTAAGGCCCATTTCTAACACCCATCTGCTTTAGAAATAAATATTAATCGGATACATACATGTATGTCTATGATGGGACTGGCAATTGTCGTAAAATACCCCGGTAAAATACACGGCTCATATATTTATACAATTCACAGGTAATGACACTTTTGTTCAACAAACTAAAGAAACAATACATATTTCAATCAAGTTTATTTACTTTAAATACTGGTTATAAATATATTCCAATAACTTACATGAGTATGTTAACAGTTAATGCAGCAATCAAACGGGAAAGAGAAATTCATTTTTCTCCATGGCAATAGGCAATTATGAGCAAAGTATTGATATTCAGAACAATCAGTGTTTATTAACTGCCTTGAGGGACACCAAGTATCACCATTTTTAGATCATTTTGAGATTTATTTTTGTTAAAAGTGACTTAAAATGTATTTAATACAAAGCCAATTATGTAAAATTGCATCATAATTTTTTGCTATAAAGCTAAGTGTATAAAAAGACACTAACCACGCCACCATATTTCTGTCAACCTAGTAAATGTAGTATGTGAACAAACCATCTCTCATTGTCACTTTATAATGCTGTAATGTAAATTTGAATGAATATTCCCATTTTCAAATTTTTTCACAATTATAACAGACTATCATTTATCAACTACATGTACATGTACAGGTGAAATTAGTACAAAATTAGTAAAATAATTACAAATGCACTGTAACTTTTTAACATACTGTTCCCAAACCTAAGAAATTGACTAACTTTTGGTCATTTTATCTGTAACAATTAAAAAGGTGTAATCCATTAAAAGATGTTTCACATATAAAAAAAATGTCTCTGGACAATTAAGCTTTCTGAACTTGAATACTGTAATTGTACGTGTCATACTGTCATATATGTTCTAGTATTATCATTTTTGGCATAGTACATGGATATATGATATCATATCAAATAACATTTTATATCAACATATGAACCAAAACTAGTGATGGGACAAATAAGTCAGGTATTCTAAATTATAGTTATAATTATACCTATACAGTACAGTGTACCTGTGTGATATTTGAAAGTAATAGAAAAATAAAACCCTGATTACCTAGGTCTGCTACATTTTATAATATCATTTGAAGAAAATATTTGGTCAGATCATTGAGGATCAGGTAAGATCATTGAACATCAAATCTGATCATTGAATTTCAGGTCAGATCATTGAAGATCATTGAAGATCATTGAGGATCAGGTAGAATCATTGAAAATCAAATCCGATCGTTGAATTTCAGGTCATGTCATTGAAGATCATGCAAGAGATCAAGTCAGATCATTGAGGATCAGGTACTAGGTAAGATCACTTAAAATCAAACCTGATCGTTGAATATCAGGTCAGATCATCGAAGATCATGCAAAAACAGGTCAGATCATTGAGGATCAGGTACTAGGTAAGATCATTGAAAATAAAACCTGATCGTTAAATATCAGGTCTGATCATTGATGATCATGTAATCCAGGTCAGATCATTGAGGATCAGTGAGAGCATTCATGCTCATGTCAGATCATTCAAAATCCTGATATGAAAGATCATTGCAGAGAAGGTAAAATCAGGTTATATCATTGACGATCAGGTGAGATCATTGTTCAAAGATCAAATCAGATCATTTAAGATCAGGTCAGAACATTCAAGAATATTAAAGATATGATATATTGAAGCACAAATGAAAACCAAGTCTAATTTGATTTATAATTTATGATTCATAATTTTCAATGTAAAAATACAAATTTTTGACTAAGTTGCCAGAAAACACTAGAGAATATTACCTACTTAAACAAAAAATTTCAAGTGAGCACCTGAAAAAATCATCTTGAGATTTACCCAGCATGTTCAGAAGAAACCAATCAGAGTACATTTATTTGAAAACACATGGAATTGTTCATTTGACTATGATAAATCTGATGTAGGGTTCTCTTTAGGCAAAACATTTTCGATCGACTTGAAAATTAGAAAAAATACATCATAAATCATATACTATATCTAGTAGTTTGAATAACATTCAATAGAATTGTAAGAATGAGTTAAGGAAGACACTGGTTGTGTAGCATAGTCCAATACTTGTGGCAGATTACTGAATCTACATATACAGCTAATACCATGTTGGTTGTTTTGAATATATTTTTTTAATTTGGTGCTACTTATTTTGGTGGATATACTGTTTAGAACATTTTGCAGCTACTTAATGTGGTGGACTTGTAATTAAAATCTATAAACAATACATGTAATTTTGTATTTCTATTGGACATAGACATAATCTAGCACATCCAGATCTCACATCTCACATCTGAATTTATAATCAAACATGGAAGGGAAGCACTTGTACAAGAGGAATGTTTCAATAGCTTGATTAATCGTAATATATTACAGTGATCTCCCCAGCATTAAAGCAAATGGGTGCAGCACCCACCTGAAATTTTGGAAATAGGCTTGCACCCACCTGAAAATCCATTTGCACCCACTTAAAAATGAGAAAAATCATGAAAAATTGGCATAGTATGACCAATTTTGGTCTGAATTGTGAAAATTAGAATTTTGCACCCAAATCCTAGGGAGATCACTGTATTTTTCATAAAAAAATAAAATACCTGTTTCATATAAAATATGCTTTGAGGACTACATAATTGAGGATCAGGTAAGATAGTTGAAAATCAAATCTGATCATTGAATTTCAGGTCAGATCATTGAAGATCATGTCAGATCATTGAAAATCATGTCAGATCATTGAGGATCAGGTAAGATCATTGAAAATCAAATCTGATCATTGAATTTCAGGTCAGATCATTGAAGATCATGTCAGATCATTGAGGATCAGGTAGAATCATTTAAAAATCAAACCGATCGTTGAAAATCAGGTCAGATCATTGAAGATCATGCAAAAACAGGTCAGATCATTGAGGATCAGGTTCTAGGTAAGATCATTGAAAATCAAACCTGATCGTTGAATATCAGGTCAGATCATCGAAGATCAGGTACTAGGTAAGATCATTGAAAATAAAACCTGATCGTTGAATATCAGGTCAGATCATTGATGATCATGTAATCTAGGTCAGATCATTGAGGATCAGTGAGAGCATTCATGATCATGTCAGATCATTCAAAATCCTGATATGAAAGATCATTGCAGAGAAGGTAAAATCAGGTTATATCATTGACGATCAGGTGAGATCATTGTTCAAAGATCAAATCAGATCATTTAAGATCAGGTCAGATCATTCAAGAATAATTAATAAAGATATGATATATTGAAGATTGAAGCACAAATGAAAACCAAGTCTAATTTGATTTATAATTTATGATTCATAATTTTCAATGTAAAAATACAAATTTTTGACTAAGTTGCCAGAAAACACTAGAGAATATTACATACTTAAACAAAAAATTTCAAGTGAGCACCTGAAAAAATCATCTTGAGATTTACCCAGCATGTTCAGAAGAAACCAATCAGAGTACATTTATTTGAAAACACATGGAATTGTTCATTTGACTATGATAAATCTGATGTAGGGTTCTCTTTAGGCAAAACATTTTCGATCAACTTGAAAATTAGAAAAAATACATCATAAATCATATACTATATCTAGTAGTTTGAATAACATTCAATAGAATTGTAAGAATGAGTTAAGGAAGACACTGGTTGTGTAGCATAGTCCAATACTTGTGGCAGATTACTGAATCTACATATACAGCTAATACCATGTTGGTTGTTTTGAATATATTTTTTTAATTTGGTGCTACTTATTTTGGTGGATATACTGTTTAGAACATTTTGCAGCTACTTAATGTGGTGGACTTGTAATTAAAATCTATAAACAATACATGTAATTTTGTATTTCTATTGGACATAGACATAATCTAGCACATCCAGATCTCACATCTCACATCTGAATTTATAATCAAACATGGAAGGGAAGCACTTGTACAAGAGGAATGTTTCAATAGCTTGATTAATCGTAATATATTACAGTGATTTCCCCAGCATTAAAGCAAATGGGTGCAGCACCCACCTGAAATTTTGAAAATAGGCTTGCACCCACCTGAAAATCCATTTGCACCCACTTGAAAATAAGAAAAATCATGAAAAATTGGCATATTTTGACCAATTTTGGTCTGAATTGTGAAAATTTAAATTTTACACCCACTGAGAAAAAGTTCTGGGGAGATCACTGTATTTTTCATAAAAAATAAAATACCTGTTTCATATAAAATATGCTTTGAGGACTACATAATTATAATCTTTCTTAAATATTTTTCAACTGAATTGCCAAAGAAACAGTTTCCATATCTCCTTTCTCATGTGATCGATTCAGCTGACTGGCCATTGTTTATTCCAAACAGTTTCTGATTCTCCAAGCTTAATTCACTTCAGCCATAACATATTAGGGTTTCCATATCCCCAATCATCACCTCCTCCTTCAGCTGAGTAAGTTTCTACATCCCTTTCATCATACAGTTTCTATATTTCCTTGTGATAATGGATCTCTTGGATTGCTGGCTAATCCATTCCCATCCAGCTCATTAGCCATAGATTCCAGCTCTTCAAGGCCTTTGTGTGACCTTTCATACTTATGTGCAATCAGCTGACGGTAAAAATGAATTGCAAAAATGATAAATATGATTATAGCTGGGACTATAATCGCTGTGGAGGCAATCGATGCCTCATGATTGCTAAATTTATAAAATCGCACCCAGGCCAACACACCCATCTGGATGAGAAAAAGTAATATTCCAATACCAGTTGAAAAAATCCACGCTAATTCAATATATATCTGTAATCTATCATGTGGTGACTCATTGACGGCTGTCACATTATGGACGTTGCTGACCGCTTCAATGTTCGGGAGAATGCACGTGCTTATCATTAAAGCCAATAGATGGACGGCAACGAGGAGAGTTGTACAGACGCTGAATGTCACCAAAAGTCCTATGGGGATATTGTCATCTAATTGTGCTTCTACCATAGCAACCTAGAAATAGAAATGGTTTCATTCATCTTTTGGGATATTAGGGTTTTCCTCTTATGGAAAGTTATGGCATGCATAAAACAATATTCTTAATAGTATACTAAAAAGATAGAAGTTTATCATTTTAAAAACAAGATTTGAACTAAATCTCATGATGAGGCAAGTTGTGGATTATAATGAATTTAAAACATTTTATGTAGTTTAAGATCAGCTACTGGCTCTAAATATATTTATAGTCCTATGAGCCTCTTACACAACCTAATAAACGTATTGATTGAGCAATGTTACATATCATTATGGTACCATTATTGGGATAATGGTTCAAAGTTAAAGGCAGAATAATAAGTAAAATCCTTTAATAAAAACATTATCATGATGTCTCTTTCGAAAAATCATAAATACAACACTGTTTGTCAAAGTGTGAATATTAAAACATTTCTAACTTATCAAATTTACAGGGTGTCCAATTAATAAGATGAAAGATCGGATTGACTGGAAGTGGAATCTGACACACCTTGCCTAGCTTTGTGTGAATTGCTATTATAGCATGCACTTTACCATGGTTAGAGAAAGGTATATGATAATGACATATTTTGGATCAGGATATCAAAATGATATTGGGATTAAAAGGATGATATTGGGATTAGAAGGATGATATTACGATTACGCATACCAACCGATAGTAATATTCAATTTGTAATTGTTATGGGCAAGCAATTTTTCCACGGCTTGATATTATGAGAGATGACTGTTTTACATCAAAGTCTATTGATAGTAATTTCCAGCTTATTGTGAGTTACAAACACTTATGTTCAGAATTACAGACACTAGCCTAATGTAACTTTACTTGTGAATATATTGCAGTTGGGTTATGGAGAATAAATAATGGTAATTCACACAATGAAGAGCATTCATATTTTCAAAAGTTCTTGTTTGCCTTACATGTATATAGAGTTTGTTTAATGGGAGGGATGGAATATGAATTTTATTCTGAGGGAAAATATGATAATGGCCAAGGAAAATATCATATTGACCGTGGGTGACAGCCCGAGTGTCAATATGATATTTTCCGAGGCCAATATCATATTTTCTTGAAGGAAAATCTGATGTACATTATTGGGATAATGGTTCAAAGTTAAAGGCAGAATAATAAGTAAAATCCTTTAAAAACATTATCATGATGTCTCTTTTGAAAAATCATAAATACAACACTGTTTGTCAAAGTGTGAATATTAAAACATTTGTAACTGATCAAATTTATTCTGCTCATTTGACATTTTATTGATCAATTAATGATCATATAAAAATCCTGCCACATTTTAAGTCAAGCCAAAGTTTTCAAACTAAACATTTCAAAATTCTGAAATGGTAAAATAGTGGGTAAGGTTTTATGCATTATTGTATGTCATGATGTCATACAAGTATTAAAGGACAACTGAAACAGGTTTTCTCAACTTGCAACTACAAAAATGTGTTTTTCTTCATTGTAAGCCCAACGTAGAGTTCTTGCCATTATAAAAGAAATGTTAGATAAGTGTTTATGGTCATAAATAACGTATAAAACTATCATGATTTAATGGACAAAAACAAGCCATGTGCAGACCAGTGAGGGATCACATGGGGGCCAATAATGTCACAACCTATTCGAATATTGCCTATCAAGCAGCGATGACGATCGTTAGAGTGAAATAATTTTCACAATACTGATGAGAAAACATGTCCAAATACATTTATCAAAAATTCTATTGATTCCTTTAGGTCAACAATATCAGATTTCATATCTGCTTTAAAAAATATTGCCACACTGAAGTAAAGCCCGGCTGTATATTATGCAACTACCATGTAATTTATGCGACTACCATGTATATATGCAACTACCATGTTTATGAATATATGCAACTACCATGTGTATATGCAACTTCCATGTACAGGGTGTCCAATTAATAAGATGAAAGATCCTGTAACTTTCTTAATGTTGCACCAAATTTGGGTAGGTTGTAACACAAAACGTTTTACCTTTATTCTGTAAAGGTAAAAACTTTGCAAATTTTGCATTTCAAATTTATTATCTTGGAAAATATATGATGTCTGGAACTACAATTAAGTGCCCACCTTTTTGTTGTTTCTGTTGCTATAGCAACCATAACTGGCCAATAGCAAATGGGAAACACTTGAAATTTACAGGTAAAAAGGTTGTGTTACAACTTCCCAAAATTTCATCGAGCTTGGGCAACATTAAGTTACAGTATCATTCATCTTATTTATTAGACACCCTGTATACCAAAGCAAACCAGTTGATATGCAACTATCATTTATATCATACCGTAGCAAACCCTGCAAACAGTGCTGAAGTCCCACTTGCATGTTTTAATTTATTTTTGGCCAAAAATAAACGACGCCATTTGAATTTATATTCCTCGCTTTGGAGTCCTCGTAGATTACTTAAACTTCCAACAGGTGATCCTTGCGATAACGAGCCTCTTCGCTCAAAATAATAAAGCTCTGATTGATACTCCATAGCTGTAGCTGTAGATGTTAACTTTGAATATGTACTCATGAATTAATAAGACTTGAACTTCAATTTTCAATTTCAAGTTCAGAATGATGTCTTACGTTTAAGTCCTTCCAGGGATGTTTTCTTTGGATTTGTTTATTCCTTTTGACTCATTTCCGTACAACACATCTTCAAATTCAGGTAACATGTGTTAAACTACATGTATTCAATTCATATTTAAGGCTTCCCTTTCAATGAGACCGAGTCATCCAGTTCAATAGTACTGTACAATTTAGCCCCATTTATGTTATCTATATCAATTAAAAATGTTTTGGCTGCAGGGTATTTTACGACATTAATTTTACAACCAGAGTTTTGTCTAGTTATGGAGTCTTGAGAACCTATAAACACACTAATTCCACCGATTAAAATCCTTAACACTCATCTTAGTAGATGTTCCAACAGAGCAGAGTTTGATAGTTTTGTGACATTTAAGTATACATTTACTGTTCATTGGGCTATTTGACACTATGCAAGTCCAAACCTCTGAGTTCTTTATATTTCTCCCATCCTTAGGTTACTTATTTCCAAACTACCTGCACTTTTCTGGAAATAGTCCTCCTGTTTTATATTCCCTAACTGATTCACATTTACTATAGTACTTTGCTTCAGTTTTATCACAAATGTCTCATACCCTCTTTAACAGTCTGATATCACAACTTAAAATAGAGCTCTACATATTCTATATATTGTAATATAACTATAGGCTCGGAAACCAAGGATATTATTTATTTCATTCAGTTACTTCTTGTTTCAATATCGTATTTCATATTGTGAAATGCATAAATGTCCTCCTCAACAAGGCTGTATGTACAAATAACATTGCCTTGTTGTATTCTTAAAAGCTTTACTAACTTAAATCTATGTATTAAATGTGATATATGTTATTAACAAGTAAACCGCTTTGAATCTAAATGTAAATAGAAATGTTGAACATCTGCCAAAATAACCCTTATATTTCAAAAAAGTGTGTGCTAAATATCAAACACAGGTGACATTATTAGAGTTAACACATACATTGGCAGCATTGACCCACCACCACTAACTATAAGTTGGATAACATTACTAGAGTTTAACAACTCGATAAAAGGCTGGTGCTGGCTAGAATTGTCTATGGTTCTAGCCAGGATAAAGATACCAGTTCTTCAACTCGACAATGGAAAGAACTGCTCTACCTAAGTGACTAATATGTCATGACCTACCACCACTAACCATAAGTTAGATGACATTAATAGAGTTAACAAATACATTGGCAGCCTTGACCTACCACCACTAACCATAAGTTAGATGACATTACTAGAGTTAACACATACATTGGCAGCATTGACCCACCACCACTAACCATAAGTTAGATGACATTACTAGTGTTAACACATACATTGGCAGCATTGACCCGCCACCACTAACCATAAGTTAGATGACTTTAGTAGAGTTAACACATACATTAGCAGCCTTGACCTACCACCACTAACCATAAGTTAGATGACATTAATAGAGTTAACACATACATTGGCAGCATTGACCCACCACCACTAACCATAAGTTAGATGACATTAATAGAGTTAACTCATACATTGGCAGCCTTGACCTACCACCACTAACCATAAGTTAGATGACATTAATAGAGTTAACAAATACATTGGCAGCCTTGACCTACCACCACTAACCATAAGTTAGATGACATTAATAGAGTTAACTCATACATTGGCAGCCTTGACCCACCACCACTAACCATAAGTTAGATGACATTAATAGAGTTAACAAATACATTGGCAGCCTTGACCTACCACCACTAACCATAAGTTAGATGACATTAATAGAGTTAACACATACATTGGCAGCATAGACCTACCACCACTTACCATAAGTTAGATGACATTTATAGAGTTAACACATACATTGGCAGCATTGACCTACCACCACTAACCATAAGTTAGATGACATTACTAGAGTTAACACATATATTGGCAGCCTTGACCTACCACCACTAACAGACCGTAAAAAGAACTCCTTCAAAATAATCTTAAAATTGTCCTAGAATACTTATATTATATAAAGATGCACTTTCATGAATAAACTAAACTGAATTTCATGTTCCAAATATATAATTTTATCAATGACACTATATGTGATCTTTGTTTTTGAATTGCTCATCTTTAGCAAGAAAATATCTGATTTAAAAATGGAAAATTGGTAACTTGATATCGACATCACATTACTGGTGCTCTAATTAATTTGGTAGCTGTCTGGATTTGGTGATTTACGCGGCACATTTTACCTCTGCATCCCTGTGTGTGGTAAATCACTACAACTAAAGAAAGCATGGCTGACCACAAGGGCCTGGTCCTTTCAAAAAAGGGGGGACATTGTACACTGTGTAACGACCCTGGATAGCAAGTTGCTACTACCGCCCAGCAGTCTAAACCTTAATAGTTCAGTTAGTAGAGTC